ATTTTGAGTGTTAGACATTGAAACAACCGATTCCCCGGCTATATTGAGGTTCAACTCTTCAATCCTCTACTCATTTTATTCTAGCTTAATGTTAATTGTTCACTCGAATTGGTTATAGCTGAACATGATTTTATCACAGTATAAAAATTGGGTTGCTATTCTTTAACTGAACTGCGCCAAATTAGATTAAGTAGAATCGAGGGGTGTCGTGCCAAAAATAAATTTCAAAATGCATGGCCCTCATTTAACTATTTCTTTTAAACCCTTAGAAATCGGGGCATGCCATTTAGTTGAACTTTCCATGGCCCTCGCATACTTGAAACGCGTAGTTGCTTTAGGTACGTGTTTAATAATATTACTTTCCTAAATTCGGGTGCACATTTATGTGACCCAAATCCAAATCCCAACGAAGTTAAAATATGACAAAAACCGCGGGTGCATTTATGTGACGTGGTTCGAGATGTATTTTAATGACGTTGCAATTCTCTTTAAAAATAATAATAAAAGCGGTTAAAAAGTTAAAATTTGCACATAGGTTTATAATTTTTAAAATCAAATAATTTAAGCCGAATATAACAGTTGAGCGACCGTGCTAGAACCACGGGATCCGGGGGTGCCTAACACCTTCCCTCGGGTCAACAGAATTCCTTATTCAGAATTTCTGGTTCGCCGACTCCAATTGGGAAGTCGAAAATTTTCCTCGATTTGGGATTTAAATTAAATCGGTGACTTGGGACACCAAAAGCCAATCCTATCCCAAGTGGCGACTCTAAAAATAAATAAATAATCCCATTTCGAATAATGTCACTTTAAATGGAAAAACTCCCTTATACTTTATCCTTCGGGGTAGGTGTTTCTACTCAGTCTTTAATCAAGATTGAATTTTTCTTTTGCTCTATCTGATTTATCCAATTAAGTATTTTTGCTGAATTTGATATACAGGTCCAATATTTCCATATGGAAATTCGTAAACAAGAAAAAAGAGAAAAGATGATGCCTCCTTTACCATTTCAACAGTGGAATGAGATGGGGGATTTTTGTTCTAATTTGATATGGTTGGTTATTGGGAAAGGGTCTCTCTATTTGGTATTGAATTGGCTAGTGTCAATCTTGAAGTGGACTCGACATCAATATTTTATTAGGTACTCCATAGTGATATAAGAAAGTATCCTCTTCTGACTTTGGAATAGAATTTGGACTCCAAAGGTCTCTTTGAATTTTTCCCTTTTCTCTTCACATTTCATAATTAACATCTTTCCCTGTATTTATGGATATCCACTGTTTTATTTACAGCAGCAGACAGACTAAAAACAAGAAGTATTAATGGTTCGAAGAGAGAGTTTAAGGATGAACCTGACGTTAAGATTGCTACACACATATTCACTTTCTGTGATCTTGAAGCTGCTACAAGTAACTTCATGCCAGAATCTTTTATAGGTGAAGGACGGTTTGGACGTGTGTATAAAGGGTGACTATCTAGCGGTCAGGTAATTCCCGTTGAGGCTTGGTCTTTTACTTCTCCCAGATTATCATGCAACCATGCGACATCCTTATTCCTTGGGATTAGAGGGTTCTGGGTATCAGTATGTCTGACACACATGTGTTTCTCTCTTCTGGCTTAAATGCTTTATCGTGGGCTCCGCGCCATAGGTAGTGTACTTAAGTGGATCTGAAATGTGGAATTTCTATTTGTGATCCTATTCTCACACAGATAAAGGTTCTTGCCAGGGGGAAGATGAGATTCGAGAATCTGCATAGCATATAAAATAGTCAAGCCTTCTGCCTTAACTGAGGAACCTGTGGGAGCTGATCTTCAGATACTTCATAAGATGTAGGAACAACAGAAGTTTTATTTTTGCAACCCTGAAGAAACAAATCATGTGATGCGAAATTTTTTCACCTTTGGCTTCTCCTAATCTAATTTTGAAAAGGGCACTTACATGCACTTCTTCTTATTACTTGTGTTTAACTATTACGGTAGAGAGACTGTTTCTAATAGACCCTCGGCTTAGAAAGAGTTAGAAAAGGAAGAACGGTTATATATATATATATATATATATATATATATATATATATATATATATATATATATATATATATATATATATATATATATATATATATATATATACACACGTACTATATTATAAGCATGAACACCATAAGTTAAAGTTAATTTACAATAACATCACTTAAAATGTGAGTGACTTTTTTACCCTTAAAACTAATTATTCTTTCCAATTCTTCTAAAGTGTGGTTTTCTATTTTCGTACTTACATTGGCATTTAGTGAATTTACTAGTAGTACTTCCTCCGTTTACTTTTACTTGGTACGTTTTGACTTTTCACGTCCTTTAAGAAATAATAAATGAAGTGCATTATTTACCATGATACCCGTATTAATTGATGCATATTTTATTGGATTTGTGAAAATAATTTGAAATAAGTAATAAATACTATGGGTATAACAAGAATTTTTTTTTTTGTGTGTTCTCTTGATATGCTTAAAGTGTCAAGTAAAAATGAAAATCTATTTTTAGTATACATACCAAATAAAAGTTGACGGAGGGAGTACATTTTACGTACAAAAAATCTACATTTCAATCAGTAGGGGGTCAAAAGAAAAAAACGATTCAATAAGAGAGACATTTCATATAGACATTGCTAGAGGTGGATTTAGAATTTTATATTTATTAGTTCCTATAATAATATCAAGTTAATGTATATTATTACTTATAGCTACCTTTTCTATTTTATAACAAAATAAGTATTTATTTATACTTACTATTGAGGCATGAAATACGTCAATTATGTTTTTTCTCTCTCTCTCTATCAGCAAGATTCAATCATCTCTCTTCTCCATCAAATCAACAAAATCGTCGACATCATCATCGTGAACATCGTCGGAATCGTCATCGGCACAATCATCCACTATTGGCTCATCCTCTTAGGTGAACAAATTTGGCAATGGCTACGCCGGAGAAGATTTGAGGGCCGGGTTTTTGTTCGTCTCTATTTTTAATTTTAATACAAAGTATACAGTATTTTGCTTGGCCGAAAAATGCCATCTCCGGTGAACTTTCTTTTCTTCTTTGCTACTTTAGTTACATACAGTGATACAAATACATTGTATTCTATACAAATACACTCAAATATATTATATTATTGTATAAATACATTATTTTTCGTCTGTCTTTATGTATTTCGAAGGTCTGTACAGCCGAATATCACTGCGTTTTGAGATTTTTTATTGTTAGAATACAGTCGAATTGGCTATGGTGAAACTAAAAGTATAGAAACTAAAAATAAAATATTTCCAAATGAGACACAAAGAACAATAATAACAAAATTGAACTTCCAGATTCTATGATTATTCCTTTACAACTGAAGAAGAATCTCCGGACCATTTATTCGCTATGACATTCTCAAATGTACACCCATGCTCCTCTATTCCATGTATTCGCGCGATTCTATTTAAATACAGTAAGGTAATCAAGAAATAAGATTTTCGTAGTGGAATGAGATGGGGGATTTTTGTTCTAATTTGATATGGTTGGTTATTGGGAAAGGGTCTCTCTATTTGGTATTGAATTGGCTAGTATCAATCTTGAACTGGGCTTGACATCAATCTTTTATTAGGTACTCCATAGTGATATAAGAAAGTATCCTCTTTTGACTTTGGAATAGAATTTGGACTCCAAAGGTCTCTTTGAATTTTTCCCTTTTCTCTTCACTTGTCATAATTAACATCTTTCCCTGTAGTTATGGATCTCCACTATTTTATTTACAGCAGCAGACAGACTGAAAACAAAAAGTATCAATGGTTCGAAGAGAGAGTTTAAGGATGCATATGACGTTCAGATTGCTGCACACACATTCACTTTCCATGAGCTTGCAGCTGCTACAAGTAACTCCAGGCCAGAATTTTTTATAGGTGAAGGAGGGTTTGGACGTATGTATAAAGGCGACTACCTAGCGGTCCGGTAATTCCTGTTGAGCCTTGGTCTTTTACTTCTTCCAGATATTCATGCAACATTGATTAAAATTGAAATTCCACTGTTAGATTTATCTGGTTTGGCTATGAATTGAGACTTATGTTGAAACCAGCACGGCCCAACATTATTTAACTTTGCATAATATCTAATTACAGATAAATTAATCTTGCAGGTATCGAGTAGACAATGAAACTGGAAAGGTTTATAAAGTCAGTAAGTCATCCATCTAATAGATAGCCTATGATATTTGTAGAACTTTACTTGAACAACAAGCTTTACTAACTTACTACCTACTAAAAATGTACTAATTAACATGATCAGTACATCCACAAACTTATCTGAACCTACTATTCAATATCATGCCTTTTTTTTTATTAATATAATGCAACTTTAAGCTTTCAGTTTTACCATTAATAAGATAATTTATAGCCACATAAATATTTATAGCTTGTTTTTTTATCATAAATTTTAAAAAAAAATCCTGTTAAACTTCATGCATGTTTAAATTTGTCACATAAAATGAAATTGGAGAGCATATCACTACAGGAAATATGAGCTATGGCGACATTAAATAAATGTCATATTAAGTAACATAAAAGTCACATAATTAATTACCGACGTTTATTTTACATTTAAGCCAAATGTCGGAAATCTCAATGTCGGAAATTTTTTGACATTTAAATAACTGTCGGTAAATTCTTAGCGACATTTATTTACTGACTTTTATCAACATGTCACCCATTTGAGTTATAACCATATAGTTTGCGACATATAAAAAATGTCGGCAAATTGTTTGTCAATTTACAAAATAGAGATGTATGATTAAGATTTAAAACAAAGACATCTAAATATATATATAAAGTTGGCTCTAAGAGAGGTTGATGTGGCACCTCTCTTGGCCCAGCATTGACATTTATCTTACTTGTCAGTTTTTTTGATATTTTTCCTTCTAAAAATAATGAAAAAACATTCCAATAAAGAAAACTAAAAGTCACTGCAAAAGAAACGTCGTTTCCCTGCAGAAGAAACGAATGCTTCTTTTACTCCTGTTAAACGACTCTTCTCTTCCTCTTTTTCGCAAATCTCCTCTCCTTAAAGTGTCTTCTTCTTTTCCCCTTCTTCCTACAATCGCCCATCGCCCAAGGTAAAATACTTCGTTTGCTCTTTAATATTTTAAATTTTACCTTGAATTTCTATTTCTCTTATTTCTACTGTTGCTAGAGGTAAATCGCCTCTCTCTGATTTTGTGATTTGCTTATCTCTTTCTTATTTTTTTAGATTTATTTGGCGTGTATTTTCTGTGTCACTGTATCCAATTTGCTTTAGGATTTGTGACTCTCAACATGTATGGCTCCGCATGTTTTTTCTCCTCAAATATTTTGGTTAGTTTCAAATATCAAATTATTGCTTCAAATTGCATTTATGGGACTTGGCATGTCTGTCTGTATTATATTGTTGTTGGCCCGACATTCATCAATTAAGACAATCATAATCCATGAAACAAGTGCGAGAGGATTTGGAAGTGCAACATATTTACTAGGTCAATTATCAATGATATAGATTGTTGTCTCATATTTAGAGGATTGTATTGTACTATAGTAATATTTGTGGGTAAATATCAATGCATAATTTTCCTTTGCTATGCAACAACAAGAACTATTTTGCTTTTCTTTTACCCATATTGATTTTCTGATGATTAATTGTGTGTTCACCTTCTTCTTCCATCGGTTCTCTTCATCACTTCAGGCTTTGCTTATGTTCCATGTTGTTTGTTCTTAGTGATAAGCTTAATTCTATTTCTTAAATAGTTTGTATGATTTTTTTTGAACTGTATGGGGTAAATATGACTTTGCTTTTTCGAATTTTCTGTAGCTTCTAATTGTTGTCGACTATCTAATCCTTATTATGGCTTTGACATAATTGGCTTTCAGGATATTCTCTTTCCAGCTTTGCCGATTTCATCCAAGTTCAATAAAAGAGTGACCTTTGGTTGGTGCAACTTTACGGATTCATATCTCTCTGTATATGATTTCTTTTATTAATAAGGACTTACCATGGTCTACATATTTAGGGGAGAAAAAACGAAAGAAAAATCTATCTATATATAAAAGAGAGAATAGATAAGGTGATGTGGCACCTCTATTTCGCCTAGAATTATATTTATCTTTTTTTTTTTTTTTTTTGCTTTTTCCTCTACTTCTTATTTATTTATTATATCTGAATATAAGCTGCTCAAAGTTATGAAGGCTGATTTGAGTGAGATTTGAAATTTAATTTTGTCATCTTATTTGGCTCATATTTGTATTTGAGTCCTAACTTTGTTGCGGCATTATTGGTGCTTGGTGGGGTTCATAAGCACTTGTTATTATTTATGTCACAGTGAAGAGTTCCTTTGGTTTGTTTGGTCTATGCTGCCGGATTTCCATCTCTATAGTTGGTTGATTTATGATTGCCAATTTGGTAGGGAAAGTTGCTTCTATAACTGTTGCACAGGCTGAAATGATAGATTGAAAAAACCTGAAGCAGTTATCAGATGGTGTGGGTACGTAGAATTTAATTTCTTATTCTTTAAGGTTACTATGACTTAAAATGGGAGTATGAGCCTCTAATATTCTGTGTCTTAATTAGGTGTAATATTCTGTAGGTAATACACATATAACATCATGTGTAAGAAGCCACATGAACATGCTACCTTATAGAGGGCTTTACTCTTCAATTCCATAGCTGGATCCAAGGCCAAGTGATTCTGCTTTCCTGATTGCTTCTCCGTAACAAATAAGCGGGTTTATATTTATCTTTCTATTATTGCTCTGTCATGAATTTTGCAGGTTATGATCTTAGTCTATTTTTATATCGTTGCTCAACGGGCAAGTTCCCTCTTAACCAATTGTACCGTTCTTTATTTAGTTGACCTCAATATGTTTTATTTAAGAATAATGTGATTATATTGATTTTGTTCATGTTAAGAGAAATGATATGTTTTCTCTCTTCAATCTGAAACAAGCTTCTTAATAATATTATGGCATATATTAAGGCATTTTTACTTTGCTTAATTCATTGAGTTGTGTCATGAGGCAAACGTAATGAAGACCTAAAAAGCTTAATCCTTTTATATTTGTGAAAAGGTGATTTTGGAACTTCTTCTGGCTAAGTGACCTATTATATTCTTTTCTTTTGCTTTTTGCGTTGTTGTTCCTTTCTCATTTCTTCCTTTAGTTATATTTAAAAATTCATAGTGTGCAAGTACAATTAACTTTTCCCCTGCCGTAGTAATTCATTTACTAGATACTTATTACTCATTTATGTACTATTTTATGGTTTCAAACTTTTCACGTTCCTCCTTAATTGTTCATTTACTTGGTATCAATTTATGTGCTCCCTTAAATTCTCTTTTTCTTTCTTTTGTTAAACCTATTTGATAACTTAAAAGGAGGTAATGTAACGATCAAATGCATCCCTCAACTTGGAAGTTCATATTTTTCATTTGTTCCTTTGTAGTTTCTCTTTATTTTTGATAATAGGTGAATTTGACTATAATCACACCTTAAATTATCACCTTCTTGTGTAGTTTTAATGCTAAAAGTGATGACAAAATGCTCTCATTAGTGCTTTTCATGATTTGTAGGTGATATATGTATAAGGAGGGCTAAGGAGCAGTTTTGGAGTTAAAAGTGATGAAAAAGAGGCCAACTGTGAAATTTCCCAAGTGAACCAGGCAAAACAGGTCGAGGAATTCAGAGTACCGGATCCACCGCGGTTCCACCGCGACCGCGGCAGAACCGCGGTGGGAAGCAGCTGCAGAAGATGTGAGAATCCGCGAGGGTGTTTGGTCGCGGTTCTACCGCGTCCGCGGCAGAACCGCGGCAGGCGCAGAAACTTCAGGGACCAAAGTGTCAATTACGGAATTTTTAGATCTAAAACCTATTTAAAACATTAGACTTCGCTCAAGAGAGGCATGTATTGATTTTTTAGGTTTCTTAGCAAGGAAAACCATTGTGAGAAAAGACTCTAAACATCTTTCTTTTTTTCTTTTGATTTTTATGATGAATTCAATCTTAGTTTATTTTCCCATAGCCATGAGTAGCTAAATTCCTTGTCTAAGGCTTTGATGGAACCTATTGGGTGATGAACTTCTTGTTTATGTGAATACAAATTGCTAGTTTAATCTTTATTTGTTCAACTTCGTGTTCGTTGTAGTTAATTGACAGGATCCTCAATTAGCTGTGTCTATTTAGTGTGCATAACTTGGAAAAGAGTGCATATTTAGGGTATTGTTGAACAACACCACTCCTAGATTATTAGAGGAATCTATGATTGCGGGTTTAAAGGCGGGATTAGGGATAACGAAGCCTTGGGTGCAATCTAAAGTGAATTGTGCTAAATAAAGTAAGCTAGTGTATCTCGGGAGAGTGCAATAGTAGATTACTGTGATTACTCGGGAGAGATTTGCGGTAAGATTAGCGTTCATGATTGATAGAGATGTGTGGGTAAATTTGTATGAGCATAAACAGAAGGGATTCCATCAATAGGGGAAATCCTTGCCTTAGCTTTTTCTTATAATTGTTTACAACCTTATTAATTTAGTTACAGTCATTTAGTTACTTGCAAGCTAGTTGTTAAAGAACACTCAACTGAGAATTTGAATATTTGAGAAGCTGGTTCTGAAGACTTAGTGGGTCTGAAGATAGCGGTTGATAGGTTAACTCTCTGTGGATTCGACCCTGGGCGTAATACTCGGGTTATATTTGCAACGTCCGCAGAGTCCTTTTTATAAGGCATAGTTGGGCGTGATCAGTCTCACACATTGCTTTCATCAGATCACTGTTTAGATTGGAGCCATTATCAGTGATGATTGACTCTGGGATGCCGAACCGGCAAATGATACGGTCGCGGACAAAGTCTGCCACAACCTTCTGGTCACTGCCTTATATGATGCTGCTTCAACCCATTTGGTGAAATAATCAATTGTCACTAGAATGAACCTGTGCCCGTTTGATGCGGCAGGCNCATTCCCGCTAATGGGGACAATACCGAACGTATAAGTTCAAAAACACAGCTCACATAATCAGCATCTTGGTGCTCAAGCTATAAGCAAAATCCAGCCTCAAGTCCACCCAACTGGCCCGACATCAACTCACAAAGATCACGTCTCACCCCTCGATCAGGGCATCACAAGCTATTTAGGCACATCTGTTACTGAGCGCTCACGCGCGCGTACGAACACGTCGAATGAATTTCAAGAGTTTCTTTTCAAGTTGAATCAAGAACGCACGATAAGAATTCAAGAATGTGAAGTTTTCCTAAAGGTTCTGCAGCCTCTCGAGGATAAGTACAGACGTCTCCGTACCGATCCATGAGACTCTACTAAACCGGCTCATGACTTGCGAGACCAAGTAAACTAAGCTCTTATACCACCTTGTCACGACCCAAACCCCGATCGTGATGGTGCCCAACACATTTCTAGGCAAGCCCGACCATTTACACAACCTTAGCCAAATAATCTAATTAAATAAATAAATGTTCACTACTATAATACCAATTTAGTGCGGAAATTCTGATATAATCTCTAACATTCGAAAATCCCAAAGTAAAATACTAAGTAGCCCACAGAATCTGGTGTCACGAACATGAGCCTCTAGAAGCAGATTATTCACCTATTATAAGTCCGACTAGGAAAATAATACGAATAAAATAATGAAAGATAGAAGGGAGAGATCAAGGCTGTGAACGCTATGCAGCTACCTCGACACTCCCAGATAACTGCTGCTCAGCTAACAAGCCCTCACTCACCCTTTGGTGTACCTGGATCTGCACACAAGGTGCAGGGAGTATTGTGAGTAATTCCAACTCAGAAAGTAATAAACATAAATAAGGGTTGAGAGTAAGAAATCCTGGACAGGCACAAAGTAAGCTATAATTACAGCAGCTCAATCTAAATCATATCAACTCAATAAACTAATGAATACTTAGAAATATCACAACAGACAAATAAGTAAATGGCAATCAAGTATGCAATGCAACACATAAACTGGTACCTCCAGTACCCCGCTACGGCCGTGCAGCCCGCTCCATTTATTAAACGTCGACGGCGCTCACTGGGGGTGTGCAGACTCCGGGAGGGGCCCCTTACGGCCCAAGCGCAATAATAAGCCATCTCGTGGCATCAAATAGGCTCTTGGCCTCATATCAATATCATTATAATACTGTTGCGGCGTGCAGCCCGATCCCATACTCAGTCCAAAATCACATAATAGTATAAAAATATTCAACCCAAACTTCATTTAAAAATATTAACTTAATTTCTAATTTAAGAAAATGGCTGAGATTTCAAAAACAGTATTAAATACCAGGACTGAGTTTAATATTTATAAATATGGTAAGAAACCATTAAAATAATCCATGAAGGATTCAAGTAGTTGGCACGAAGCCCAATTATGACAATTAATCCATTTTTATAAGGATATTACAAATCTACAATCAAATAGGTATCAATTTTATTAAGCGGGACGGACCGAGTCGCAATCCCTGACGGTGCTCTACCCCACGCCCGTTATCCGGCGTGCAAGTCACCTCACATAGCACTACGTTATGCAAATTCGGGGTTTCGAACCCTCAACACAGCATTTACATTTATTACTAACCTCAAAGCCGGCCAAGGTCCTAGCTTGCTATGCCCTTGCCTTTCGAATTCACCTCTTCGTGCGTCGAATCTGACCAAAACCACAACGAATACGTCACAATATGCTAAGGGAATATAACCCAATCGAAAAGACTCGAAAAACATCGAAAATCACGAAGTTGGCAAAACCCGAGCCCCGGGCCCACTTCTCGAAAAATTATAAATTTTACATCAGCGGATTCCTTATCTCGCCACGAGTCTATACATATAAAGAACACCAAAATCGGAGTCCAAATGACCCCTCAAATTCCCATTTTTGTTCTCTTAGGTTTCAAGCCCTAAACCAACATTTTTGACCTTAATTCTTTGAGTTTTCAGTGTAATTCCATGTATTTGCATGATAAAATTGTGTTCTAAGTCCAAGAATGCTTACCTGATCGAAGTCCTTGAATTTCCTCTTCAAAATCGCTCAAGAACACCCCAAGTCCGAAGTTAAAAATATGTTTTCTGTAAAATTTCGCGAAGGGAATTAAAACCCTTTCTGACCAGTTATTTCCGCATCTGCGACTTCCGCTTTTGCGATGGGGAGCCGCTTCTGCGGACAAGACCGCTTCTGCGGTTACTAGACCGCTTCTGCGGTCTCGCATCTGCGATTCCTTTTACGCAGGTGCGGTTTCCTTTAGCCTTCCAAAATGTCGCTTCTGCGGTTCTTGAATCGCTTCTGCGGTCCCATTTCCGCAGGAGCGAAAATACCAGAAGCAGCACAGGTTCTGCAATCTCCTAAGTTCAACACTTCCCGTTAGCCATCCGAAATCACCCCGAGGCCCTCGGGACCTCAACCAAAAATACAAACATGATCCAATACCTTATTCAAACTTGCTCCAATCATTAAAACACCTCAAACAACACTAAAACCATCATTTCTCATCGAATTCAAGCCTAAGTTCTTCTAAAACTTCCGAAACACGCATTCGATCAGAAACCCAACCAAAACACCTCCGAATGACCTGAAATTTTGCACACACATCCAACATCACCTAA